ATACAAATATGTGTGTGTGGGCGGTGTACGGTTGGTCCTTTCAGAGCCTCAGAGTGCACAGTAGCGATTAGCGCTTGTTTTCCTTCTTTGTGTGTGTGCTCAAGAAGTGAAGGAGGAAAATAGCGACGGCGGCAATACATCAGACACGCCAGCGGGGAGCAGAGCAGAGCACCGACGCGGAGAGCGGGACACAAGACAATCCGGAAGGGTCAGCACGGAGAGCCATCGCCCACAGAAAAGAGCAGCACCACACACACACACACATAGGGTGCGAGAAGGGCACTGACCCTCTCGCAGTTACCGCACCCACTCGCTCCGCAAAACACCAGCGCCACGCACCGCCACTCCGCACCGGCCATCGCGGGCGTCACGGCGGGCCGTCGGTGTGTGCGGGCAAGCCCTCCCGCGGTGCAACACGTCTCACACCCAACAGGGAAAGGCAGACAGACAGAGAGAGAGAGAGAGAGATGAATGGATGCCGTCAAGAGGCACTCACGATCAACTTGGCCCGTGAGCGGGCACCCACCCCGCCAGCTACACACAACGCACACGGAGCGAGCACCCACAGTGTTCGCTCATTCCACCCTCAATGAGATGTGGTGCTTCACTCCACGCGATGACACGGGATGAATATCCGCCCGGGAGGCTGACCGAATGCTGAAATTATCTCTAGAAATCACACAAGAAGAAAAAAAAAGGAGTAAATGGAATGAGAGTGTGTTCCCCATATCCTCAAACTTTAACCAATTAATTGTATATATACATATATTATCTGATAGGCACAAAACCTCGCCGCTCCCTTTCGCAAGTTCCGCCCTTCGTCAATTCCTGAAGTGTAAAAACACGACCGCGTGATATGCCGTCTGCGGTGTTTTCTGCAGACCGCACGTAACCAAAGGATGTCTGTACTCCGCGAGAGTCCAAAAACTCATATATCCGTTGCAGCTCCCACGTCATGGCGCATGACTTTGATCTGACTTTATTCGCCGCTCCTTGAAACAGAGTATTTTTCACCCAAACGTCAGTGGTGGATGGCAAGATGGCGGAAAAGACCGACAAGGCTAAGCGTGCCGTGCGTGTCTCGGCTTGCATGATAAGAAAAGGTTTCCTCTCCCATTTCCCTCAGGCAATTTTAACGTCGCCTGATTGTGTAATAAAAACGGCTCACCATCCATGGAGCAACACATCCCTGATGATGGCGGCCGATGCCTTTTCTGTGGGCTTGATGATTCGCCTACGATTATTCTCGATCATTTGTCGTAATCTCTCGCCCAAACCAGCCACTGACGGCGGAAGGTTCGCCGGGGATGTCTCCTGCACCATCCCCGGTTAAGTGCGGATAATTGTCGTCGCACTGCCTTTCTGAAAACGCAATGGTCATATAAACGCGTGCACTAAATGGCCGCCAAATATAAAAATCGTGACGCTACAAACTCCACTTCCGCGATGGCTGTTGAATTGAGCGACGGCACGGCGCATACAGAGCGGACAAACATGTCACTCAGTGATACCGCACGGTGAGCGTGAACAAACTGCACCCCCAGGAAGATGTACTGCGTGGCGCCCGATTCGCGGTCCTCCCCCATCGTGGCGCGACGGCCGTCCGCATTACGAAGCACTTGGGCTTCCCACAATGTCGCATCGCTTTTCGACCCTGCAATGCGTATGTTACCGATCCAAACGTCGACACGCACCAATGGAGGTGCGGCCCGGAGGCGGTGAGCCACCGTCGTCACCCCGGCGATTGCCGAAGTAATAATCTGGTGAATTTCTGGGCCGGCCTTGCATCCCATAGGGAGCCGTGTCAGCTCTACCAGCGTGCCGTCCTCCACGCGGCATCAAAAGAGATGCCGAGTCTCCCGCGGTAAAGACCTAAAAAAAGGACGCCTTTACATCCAGGCAGAAAGTGGCCTCAGCCATCACAGGCGGCAAATAATGGGAAATGTGTAAAAGAGGAAAATTAGCCTCATAAAGGTCGTCTCTGTTCTTGTCGCGTGGCCACGCGATCCGTCGTCGTCGTAAACCGGTGGTTTTCTCCTCCACAACCGAAAAAGGGGCATTATCCATCCTTCTCGTATTACAGACGAAACGGTCTCGATTATTCCCGCTGCATTCAACAATCGCGCGTCATCGACTGGAATCCTCCGTGAGTTTCGCGCGCTTTACCGGAGGAAGACGGAGGGAAAGGGGACCGCCCGACGAGTCCCCATGCTTGCACGAGTCTCCCTAAGGCAGCCGGGTTCAACCAGCCCTTGACCCACTCCGGATTCAATACGGGCACGTTGACCTGCTGTAGCGGGATGTTTCGTTCATCTTGTGGTGTGGCCGGACGCGTCCTTGTCGCGCGTCTCGTTATTGTGGCAGAATAATGATAAAAATCATGGAAAAAAGCTCCTCCGCTCCCAGCCAGGGTTCCTGCCCTTCCGCAGTTTCTCCCTTCACATCAATGCGGCCAGCGACGACACCTGGGTCAGCATTGTGGTGCACTTCCCCAAATATCGAACTGTGTTCTGGGGAAGGTCGAACGGTTTGACGTGCACCGCCAACTGCGAGATCACATGTGGGTCCAAATTGTGCGTCTCCACGATTGGAGCCGCGTGCCTCAACACACCCTGTTTTATGGAATGCGCCGTGGCATTCCAAGGAGCCAGAGCTCGTTCCACCTGGGCAGTCGTCAGGTTCGTGAGCCTTCCGTTATTTCAAAGTGTCATACAGAGCTTTATAATGTCGAACGCATCCTGCCCTCGCATCCCCACGAACCGCGAGGCGCAGTGGGGATCCGCCCTCGCCGTCTTCGGTGCCACGGATCAATACAAAATTAAGGTCCCGTTCGGCTCCAGCGTGACATTTTTGGGAGTCAAGGCCAAAATCTCAAACAAACGGCTCGCCGTTATCCACGCAAGTCGAAAAACAACGCGTTCCTTCCAATCGGTCCGGCTGCGGATAGGTTGATTCAACCCTTCCTTTGTCAGGGGGCGCGCCTGTTTCGTCCCGATCGCGACGCTATTTTTTGTAACCCCAGAATCACCATTTCCAGCGGGGTTCGATTCATTTGCAACATGGACCGCAGCATCCTGGTGTGCCGCGGTCGGGTCGATGGCGCCACTTCTAATATTCCCACCAACAAGGCCGCGCAGCTCTCCTCGTTCATCGGCTGTTCGTGCGTGCGGCAAAAAAAAAAAGAAAAAAACGTTGAAGACCGCCCGCTAGGGGCATTCTCTGCTTCCACGTTGACGGCGCCCACATTTATCAAGCCACATCGTTCGCCCTCCTTGTGTGGCCGGCCCAAAGCGGAGATGTTGGTCTTTCGTCGTATCACAGTCGAGCGTCGTTGGCGGATAAGCTCCATTGCCATTCTCAACGATTGCGTCGGGCAATTTAAAATATCGGATGGAGCGTCGGCGGTGCGGTGCGAAGTCTCTGCGAGTTGGTGGGAAGTGGCGGGGCTGCCGTAGTCCGTGCTGCGAGCAATTCCCCCCGGCTACGCCGCGCACGTTGCATGTAGATGGGTCGTGTCCACAAATATGACACAATTGGCATCACAACAATCGCTGTTGTTGCGTGCAAATGCGGGCGCAAAATTAAGAAAGCGGGATGCTGGGCCCGCTTGTTATCATGGTCTGCATCCGGAATGCCTGCAGTAGGGCCCTGCCAAAATCCTTAAAGCAATCTGCGGGAACCCGATCTATATCCAGTGCTCGTGTCCACGATAACAGACTGGCAAAGGCAATTTGAGCCTGAGCATCCGCCTGGTGCCAATAATAACTGTATGCGCTCAGAAGGTCGGCGATGACTCCGGAGATGCCCTCATTCCATATGCGCGGGGG